TGGTAAAGTCAAATGTCATAAAGTCAAGTGTTCGTAAAGTCAAGTGTACTTGACCCCATGTATTCTCTATGTATTTTCTCTGCGGGGCTCCGCACGGAAGAACCCTTCGCGATGCTTTCGGGAAAAAATCTGTCCACAACGTGGTCATATGGTAGTTTCAGTTTTCGGTGTGCCTGTGTAAGGTCTCTTCCCAATGGTCGTTCCTCTAGACAAGACCTTGAGAACGACCTCCGTGTGGAGGGTCTCTTCATTTCGAGGTCAGATATGCTGGGGGATCCTTGCAATCGGGATCAGCATCGAAATCCCGAAAATTTAGGGCTTCGATCTCAGCGTTTCTGAAACGCCAATATGAGTGATGCCATAAAACGGGTGCCTTAATCATTAGAACGAAGTGTTGAGGGCACCCCTATAGCATAGTTCAACCAGGAACCCAAGGTAACATAGTAGTACTAAGTATCAGTTTCCCACATGGGCAGTTCTCTAGGTTAGGGTCCCTTTTANNGCCGTACTATTTTGGGGACCTAAGAAGGGACCCTAATTTAGAGAACTACCCACCCTAAACTCTAAACCCTAAACCCTAAACCCTAAACCGTTCGGTTTCTCAACCGAGTCACGCAGAGGAGCCGAGCCCAAGAAATCTCCTCGGCGACATGCCTTGAGAGCCACGGAAAAGGGACCCCCTTGTAGGCGTTGAAGACGGCTGCGTTGCAGAAGGTGGCTTTCCTAAAAGGCCAAGAGGTCTCCGAAAGAAGGAATTTAATCAAAGCTGAGGAAGATGAATCGTTCCGTTGTATAGGGTTTAAGGGTTTAGGGGTTTGGGGGTTTGGGGGTTTGGGGGTTTGGGGGGTTTAGGGTTTAGAGGTTTGGGGTTTGGCGTCTAGGGATAGAATATGCCAAGGGCATACCTAGATTCTGCAGCGCTTCGCCACCGAGCCAGTTCAGGAATGGATGGCTGTTCAGACTTTTCGAGATGCCCCCGTTGATGTAGGATGCAGAGCACACGAGTATGGCAAACTTTCGGAGCCAGCTGGACACCTTCAGGGTTTAGGGTTTGAGGGTTAGGGGTTGGGGTTGAGGGTTTTAGGCTTAAGGATTTGGGGTTTAGGGTTTTCGGTTTATAGGGTTAGGGGTTTCGGGCTCTGGCGTTCGGGTTTAAGGTTAGGATATTTGGCTCAAGGCTGCACGGGCTTAAGAGATTCAGGGTTCAGGGGAGTGGGTTGGATCGATTGAGCCGTTTCCCTGTTTTGAGCTACCCTGAACCCTAAACCCAAAACCCTACACCCTCAACCCTCAACTTTAAACCCCAAACCCTAAAACCCTAAACCCAAAACCCTAAACCCTAAACCCCAAACCCTAAACCCTAAATCCTAAAACCCTAAACCCTAAACCCTAGTCTAGGCCCTGGTCCCTAAAATCTTAAAACCCTAAACCCTAAACCCTAGTCTAGGCCCTGGACCCTAAAATCCTAAAACCCTAAACCCTAAACCCATCCTGCGGCTCGGGTGAGAAGGCCAAGGCCACAAGCGCCACCAAAATTCCGAGGAAGATCCAAGCGACGATGAGGTAGCGGTGACCATTCGAAGGCGCCAAGGTGAACCCTCTCCTAGGCTCGGGGAGTTTAGGGTTTAGGGTTTAGGGGGTTTAGGGGTTTCGGGGTTAGGGTTTAGGGTTTAGGGGTTTCGGGTTTAGGGTTGAGGGTTTAGGGTTTAGGAATCCAGCTTCAATTACCATTAGAAGGAGATCGATACCCCTGTTAGGGGGGATCCAGTGTCAACTACCATTTTTCAGGAAATCGTTACCAAACAATCCTGCTATGGTAACTTAAACAAAATGTACCTTCAACTCCTGAACAAGAGCCCAGTCTCTCGTAGGAAACGAAGAGCGGCACGGAAAGCAACAGACACGCCACTGATGCCAGGTGCCAAGGCGATCGTTGCCTCGTTCTCGGGCTCAGGCTGCCCATGACCAGGATACCTTAGGGGCTGAGGTCTAGGTTTAGGGTTTCGGGTGCCTTGATATAGGGGCCTTAATAATTCGAACAGGGTTTTGGGTTATGCTATTACTACAATACGGAACCCCCAAAATAGCATAGGCAATTATCACGGCCCTTATAGTACGTTCCCCAACTTCTTCTTAAGAATACTCCCTTCCCCTTCGCCGATGGCTCTGTCTGAGCGAGGGAACCGCCAAAAGCACTGCAGGTCTGAAATAGTACCAGAAACCCTAAACCCGAAGCTCTAAACCCCAAACCCCGCGCTCGAAACCCAAAGCCCCAAAGTGTAGAACCCAGACATGAAACCCTAAACCCCAAGCCTTTAAACACTTCCGGGTTTAGGGTTTAGGTTTAGGGTTCAGGGTGTAGGGCTTGGGGCCAGACTGTGGGATTCAGACACTGAAAGATACTGGGTTCTTCCTAAAGCAGTGTGACGTAAGCTGACATAATAGGAGTGTTTGGTAAATATCAAGGTGTCCACGGTTCTTGTTGTTATTCCTACCATTTTCGTTGTGGTAAAAGAAGTACATTAGAAGCCCCACAGTTGGAAACTCAATAGCATCAATCCTTAAGACTTGTGGTATAATCCCAGCACTCATTGTCCTTACTCCAGCTTCCACCTTTTGGGGGTTTATACCATACCTTCCTTAACCTAAACCCTGAACCCTAAAACCGAAACCCTAAACACTAAACCCTAAACCCCTAAACCCTAAACCCCAAACCCTAAACCCTAAACCCCTAAACCCTAAACCCTAAACAGGAGCCGAGGATACAGACGGCAGCGGGCATGAAGATGAGCATCCAAGGAAGAGGTGCCTTCTCCATACTCGCCTGCCAGAGCCTCGGGGGCTTTGGGGATTTTTAGAGCTCAGGCCGGCTTTAGGGGGGTTTAGGGTTTAGGGTTTAGGGCTTCGGGGGTTTAGGGTTTAGGGTTTAGGGTCTAGGGTTTAGGGTTTCGGGTTTGATGTCGGGAGCCCTAATAATTAGAAGAGGGTTTTGGGGTCTAGTATACTATAATCATGATAAGGAACCCCGAAAACCCAATTCTAATTCTTAAGGCCCTATAGTATATACCTACCTGTCCAGTATCCTGGGGGAACTGAAAGTTAACCTTTGGCGTTGTTTAAGGGTTCTCATGCCCCAAAGGCTACGAGCCACCTACTCTAAACCCTAAACCCCCAACTGCTAGGCTGAAGCTTTGGCGTCCTGTAAGGTCTAAGGGTCTAGGCTTTGAGGGAGACCCGTTCGGTTTAGGGTTTGGGGTTTAAAGG